CTGGCAACTGATTATTTGTTGGTGGTATCTGTGTTTCATAATCTCACTGGGGATGGCCATAAAGTGTGTATGCAAGAAAAAAAATCCATACATTCATATTTAAACCTGGAGTCCTGTCTGTTTAATTACATTATTACTATTTCTGTATAAAAGTATTCTTTCAATTGTGTGGAGCTGCTGGAGCTGACAGCGGGATGCTGCCCGCCTGCTGGGAGGGCCGCCGTTATTAAGCTCGGGGGTAGCTCAACAGGCACATGGGGGCGTGTTTGGCCGGGGGCGTGTTTGGAGAGGGTCTGCAGCTAGGCATTATTGGTTTTTAGTAAAATATTGAAAATAAAACACAGAAATAGCGTTTTTATTTTTTAAAAGAATGGCTCGCCGGGTTATTGAATAAGATTGGCTGGTTAGACCAATTATGTAGGATTAACTACATACTAGAATCAACACTGTTGCTATTCAGTTGTAGATTCTGAGAATGACCAAGCAGAATAATCTATGAAGCTTATATCATCGATTTAAGTTCATACACCAACCTGTTTGGTCTATTATTAATCCAGAGATTAATTTAAGATAATTAAATTTAATAGCAAAAGTTTATTTTTGAATAAGAAGCTTGGAATCTTTTCAGAAATATTTATACCTTTCTGTGTTTTATTTCAAAGAATGAGGCAAGTTTAAAAATGAAGAATTTTATTTCTAACAATTTTTAAACTTTACGATTTGAACGACAATTATTCATGAATGACAATTTAGTGACAATTTTTAACAGCTTTGATATTAAGCTTGTTTTAAAAAGCAAACCTGTGGCTGGATGAAAGCTAAATGAAAATACGAGTTTGGATGCGTGAATGGATTTCTCAGAAGGTTTCTTTCAGAGAGAGGAACGCGTTCTGGGCTGGAAATGATGTTTTGCAGCTAACTGAGTTACTTAGAGAAAAGAGCGTCAAACACATTCCTGTGTGCTACCTCACCCAACAGGAGACCCTCTTTGTGGATCCGAAGATCAAGGAGGATGGTGTCCACCTCAGGGTACTCGGTCCGGTAGAGAAGATGCGAGTGAACAGATCCTCTGGTCCAGAGATGTCGCCGGGTACACAGTGTCAAGCGTTTGGCTTAACTCTGAAGGATTTTCTCGTCTTAACTCAAAAATCAATAACTCTGGAAGGAGTTTTTCCATCAGCTGGTTCCAGTTTACGTTTATTCTTAGCTATTCTGATCAGTGTGACAGAACAGCTTGGCAGAGGATCAGGGCGGCCGTCCCGTCTCCTCAGGATGGTGTTGGTTCAAGAACTGACATGAAAGCTGTTGCAAGTTAGTTTACAAAGTCCTCAGAACACACCCACTCTCAGCAAGAAAGCTTTGGTCATGCGTCAAAAACATGTGTTGGCAGTTACCCTTTGTGTGGATAAATGCTGTGTTAGATGGATAAGGTGGAAGCTGACCTTCTGATTTGCTGAACACACATTACTAACCTTAATCATAGTAATCATTATCATACCCAAAGCATAATAAGTCATTCCAGTAATTTAAATACATTTATACTGAACCAAGTGATTATTTATGATGATTATAATAAACAGTAATAAAGTCAAAGAGTTTATTAATATTATTATTTAATTATCGTGAACCTGAAGTGTCCTTCTTCTGGGATGGAACAGCAGCAGATATGGTGATATGTTCTTCAGACATCATGACTCCTGGGTTAATCAGTGGATTTAAATGTTACTGTCTGACCCAGCTTGACCCAGCTGGGTAAATGTGACCTTTGCCACAAATTAGAGAACCTTAACCATGCTACATCAACTAATTTAAAAAGTTTTTTTCTAGATCCATCGATGGTTGGTTAGTTGCCTAGTGGTTGCAGCTTCGGTGGCTAGCAGGTAAGAACTTTCTTACATATTTAATTTAACCAATATACACAAAATTAATAAAGTAAAAGGCTCGTTATATATTCATATTGAAACTCATACATATAAAATATATTGCTATCACCCGTGTCACGTAATGCAAGCCTGTTCCATTTAACCGTTTTCTTTGACCAAGAAAAGACAGTGTCCTGGTAAGCAAGGCGCCTGGCCTTGCAAGACAGCGCCTTGCAAGGCCAGGCGCCTTGACAACAAGAGAGACCCTTACCCCTTCTTTCCACCGGAGCCGTCAGCAGCACGTTACTGCAGCAGCACGTCTTGCACGCGTAAGCTGCTGCTTGGCCCTTCCCACTAGACGCGAAGCAGCAGGGGAGCAGCTGTCACCGACAGAGCACAAAGTCACATGAGTGACTTCGTCAGTAAACACAACAACTAGCAGGAGAAAACTACAACATGGCTCCAAAAGGTTTGTGTTTTATGTTCTGTTCATTTTATAATCGCCAATACGGACCTGAAAAACAAAGGAGACCGCTAGCTAGGTGATAACTTCTCACGGGGACGCACAGTTAGTAACTTTTTTTTTAAGTAAAGCAACCGGAAGGCAGTACGTTTCTTTATTCTGAAAATCTCGGTAGCTTCGCTCCGTTTCCGCGTCCGATTTCCTGTCTTTCCTTCCCCAAAAATGTCAAACTTGACCCGTTTCAGAGGCGTCGCGCGTAGAAAATAGAACCGGTGCGTGAGGGCCGCGACATGCTGCTCCTGAGACGCGGCCGACTCGCGGTGCTGACGGCTCCGATGGAAAAGGTTCTGTTGACCACAGCGGTTCCTATCAGCAGCTATGACGTGCTGCTGCAGTAACGTGCTGCTGACGGCTCCTGTGGAAAGAAGGGGTTAGACCCACTCCCATGTATTTTAGACCTGACTTTTATGGTTATATGTTACGAAGTTGCCAATATTTCTCAACAATTGGGCACCATTTCCTTCATTTTCAACAACATTTTGATGGATATTTCCAGAAATTAATGGTAAACACTACAGATTGTCTCTTTAACTTGTCAAATTCTGATTTGTCTAAATTGATAAACAATAGTTAATAAAAACAAGTTCACCCACGTCTCATAGATCTGCACAATGGCGTGGGATGGTTTTTTGGATAATGATAGTTTGTTAAACCATACAGTCAGACTTTTACAACCCAGACATCACAAATTTCTCAGATACTTGATTGGGTTTTGCTACATAACATCTAAGCTTACATTCAACCATTTCATTCATTTTCTGTTATCTTGTCTGAACCATCAATCATAATTTGTTCTGTGTCATTAGTTTAGAAATATAGTATTAAATTCATTCTTATAAACTCTATTTCTTGATTCTCTGAATTATTATGAAGAGTGCATTTCCCTGGTAGTTCAAAGAACCAAAGTTCATATTAAATCAAATATTGAAAGACCAATAGGATTGATAATTCATATTTATATGGAATATCACATCTTATTGTTCATTTAGTAAAAGTAACCACTTCCATCACATTAAAAATAGAAATGTACCTGTCCTCAAATGGGGAGGGCCAAGCTAAGGATAAAAACTAATGTTTTGAAGCAACTGTGTGTTACCATTCTTCCTCACCTGGAAGTAAAGAACCAGTAAATTAAGATCTGCTAGCTGGAGAGGATCCAGACAAGAAAGGCACTTTTTACAGACCTCAAGAATAACAACTGTAGCGTTGGCAAATTGAGTGCTTTAAGAGCTCAAGATATATATTACCTCTACTTATGACCAATAAGCTGTGATACTCCATTTAAATATAGAATCCCCCCGGCTTGGTCCTTATTGTATTTATCAGAAGATTCTAGGATTTTTGCTTTATTAACTAATTGTACACACTTCATTTTGATTCAGAAAAGAGTCGGGTTTATAAAAGTGTGAATTTATTTATCAACAATTAAAACATGACAAACTAAGCACTTACTGTGAGTGGATAGAACTTAATGTGATGTATAACTGTGTGTGAATGCAGTGTTAGTCAGAACCTCCTTATCTAGGAGAGCCGAGTTCAGGATGTAAAAGAAGTTGGTTTGCGCTAAGCTATGAAGTTGTTATTCTCAGAAGCACATCAGACGCAATCTTCACTGTGTTCTACCTCACCCTTTTGGAGACCCTTGTCGCGGATCCGGAGGTCAGAGAGGTCAGATGACCTCGGGGCACCCAGGTCCAGTAGATTGACCACAAGTACCGACTTCCCCAGTCCCGAGATGTCACCAGGCACACAGGTTGGACAAGATTGCGTCTCAGAAATAACTCTTAGGGAGTTGAACAATATCAGCTTGTTTCTGCAGGAACTGTTGCTTATCAGCTTTGCAGGTGCAAAAAGGTTTTGACGACGTGTCAAAATCTTTGATGTTAAAGAGGTGTGCTTCGGATGGCCGGTCTGAAACTTTCTCTAGAACTGCCGAATCACACAGAGTGACCCAGTTTTAAGGTTTTGATGTTATGATTTGCACTACCAATCAAAGACTGACAGGCTAGAGAGATGTTACCAAGACAACTCAGAAATACGCCTTCTTTGACCGGATGTTCTGACTGGGTGTCAGAGTTTAACGTAACCTTACTTGTCATGGTGCGAGTGCAGATGTTATGACCTCCCCACATAAACATGTGAAACCACATTGCCGTCATTGTAGACATAACATTCCTTTCAAAGAGTCTGTGAGCTCCAGCTGGTATGAAGGCAGGCTCATTTAAAGGGAACACATGCAGTCTTGTCTCCTGTTTGACCAGATGTTGAATAGATGTTGAAAGGTCAAACTGTACATAAAACTGACCTTTGCTGGACGTTACACAACTGATAAAATATGCAGAGCACTGTATGTTGGAAGGAAAAAAAAATAATGATACACAAAATTCTGTGGGTTTCGGGTGTTTTCATTTTGAAAAGTGGCACAGTAAATAAACCAGTCATGTGACCCAGGTAAAACGAGGTCGTTTGTCACCAGTCACATGGTTTTATGTGAAATGAGGCAAGCTTAAAATGGAGGCTTCATAGACATGCCAATTTTGTGCTCAGTACAAGCCTTGAAGCCTGGGCTTCATTTGTCCCATCAAAAATAAAAGGTTCAACAAAAACAAAATACATGTATTTATTTATGTTTATTGATTTAATAAAATCTGGAATGTGTGCGTGGCATCAATGTAGATAGTTCACCAAGAATATGTCTAAATACAATTAATTTTGTTTTTATGCAACAAAAAGACATTCAAGGGCATATTCTTTATTGTTTAATCCTTCCAAACACTCAGGATCTAGTTAAACAAAATCTATTTCTCTATCTCAGTCTAGTTGGCAGACAGTCAGTGTATCTCCTATCCCAGCCCACAGCCGGAATCCTGGGTACAGCGGAGCATTGAATTGTGTCTTATAGTGGTGGATGAGAACAGCCTGGTTGTTGATGATGTTGTAGAAGTTCAGAACTCCAGCGTGCTGGTCCAGATACACACCGATCCTCTTGGCTTTAGGGGAGCCCAGGAGTGTCTCCTGGTTGTTATGCCAAAATGAGAAGCCATTTCCAGACCAGTACAAGCTCCAGGACAAAGCGTTGTGGCCCAGGCGGCTCTGATCATCAGACGATTTGCGCTTCATTTCCTTGTAAGCAACAGCAATGGTGATCTGCATGGTGAGGACGTAGGACAACCAGTCAGGAGTGAGAAAATCCTGATGCTATTGTGGTAACAGATTTATGTTTCAAAAAGTCAGGAGGTTGACAATAAAAGTATAATGAATAATTTATATTATAAAAACAGGAATAATAATGAGCCAACAGTCCAGAGGCAGGCAGTTGAGTTACTGGGGTTGTATTTAAAGGAATTGGCAAAAAGGGGGGTGCCGTCTATCTGCCTCACGGCTGCTCTCTCGATCCGCCAGGCGACCGTGTTCATAACCTCTGCAACTTGTTTGGTTCTTTTGCACTTAGGCAGCCAGTGTCTCCATCTCACTGTGAACGTTTTAAATTTTTTAATTCGGGAAAAACCCAGGGAGTTCCTTAACATGCTGAAGATGTAGCATGACCAAATATGGTTATTAAGAGGTGTCCAGCAGACAGGTGACTATAAAAGCAAACTAGCTAGCTAAGCTTCACTCTCAGACTGCAGGTTTACTGGTGGTTCCCAGAAGATCTAAAAATTGGATGGGAAGCAGATCTTTTAGCTATCAGGCTCCTCCTCTGTGGAACCAGCTCCCAGCTTTAGTCCTTCAGGCAAACACCTTGTCTACTTTTAATAGGGCTTATAGTTAAAATCTTATGTTAGCCTAGATCTGGACAAGTTAGGGAGTAGAGGGAGGTTGAGTGTACAGTCGGTAAAGACGACTCTCCCTTGCCCTGCCTCCAACATTCAATTCAATTCAAGTTTATTTATAAAGCGCCAAATCACGACAAGAGTCGTCTCAAGGCACTTCACATAATAAACATTCCATTCCAGGTCAGTTCATTAAGCCAATCAGGAAAAATGTTTCCTATATAAGGAACCCAGCAAATTGCATCAAGTCACTGACTATACAGTTAGTGACTATACAGCAATCCTCATACTAAGCAAGCATATAGCGACAGTGGAGAGGAAAACTCCCTTTTAACAGGAAGAAACCTCCAGAGAATCCCGGCTCAGTATAAGCAGCCATCCTCCACGACTCACTGGGGATGGAGCAGACACACACACACACACACACACACACACACACACACACACACACACACACACACACACACACACACACACACACACACACACACACACACACACACACACACACACACACACACACACACACACACACACACACACACACACACACACACACACACACACACACACACACACACACACACACACACACACACACACACACTGTGTGTATGGTTACATTGTGATTTCTTAGTAAATATTCTATTTGGTGAGAGATACACTTTATTGTATTTATCCTAGTGGATCTATAATTAAACGGATAAACTAGCAGTAGCACATCCAACGTCAAGGAAAGCAAAAAGTTATTATCAGGAGAGGGAGAATGTTTTAGTGGTTAGCAGCAGTGTGCTAGCTGATGGCCCCCTCCATGAGGACACCACAGCTCAGCAGAACATCATTGTAGCTTCTTCTGGGGAGAAAAACACTTACAGAGAAAATAAAGTTAACAGCTGAAATAGCAGGAAATAATACAGTTAAAGAGCAGACTGTAGAAGAAAGTAGTCAAGTGTGGAAAGTGGTCAGTGTATCCTCCAGCAGTCTAAGCACATAGCAGCATAACTACAGAGATAACTCTGGATAACCTATCCTTTTAGATGGAGGCAGGAAATTGCTTAGTCAATCACCTGACCTGAATGGCATTACATTAATCTCCGAGAACAAAGTAAGGAACCTTGATGTTATCTTTGACCAGGACATGTCATTCAAATCCCAGGTTAAACAGGCTTGTAGGATTTTCTTTTTCCACCTTCAGAATATTGCTAAGATTAGAAGCATCCTTTCCAGGAGTGATGCTGAAAAACTAGTTCATGCATTTATTACATCAAGACTGGATTACTGTAATCCATTACTCTCAGGAAGTCCACAGAATGTAGTTAAAAGTCTTCAGCTTGTCCAAAATGCTGCAGCTAGAGTTCTGATGAGAATTAAAAAGAGAGATCATATCTCTCCTGTCTTATCTTCCCAACATTGGTTACCTGTTAAATTCAGAATAGATTTTAAGATCCTTCTTCTCACATATAAAGCTCTTAATAATCAAGCTCCATCATACATCAGTGATCTGATTGTTCCATACGTTCCTAACCGAGCAGTTCGCTCTCAGACTGCAGGTCTACTGTTGGTTCCCAGAATATCTAAAATTAGGATGGGAGGCAGATCTTTTAGTTATCAGGCTCCTCTCCTGTGGAACCAGCTCCCAGCCTTAGCCCGTGAGGCAGACACTTTGTCTACTTTTAAGAATAGGCTTAAAACATTTTTATTTGATAGAGCCTATGGTTAAAATCTGATGTTAGCCTAAATCTGGACAAGTGGGGGAGTAGAGGGAGGTGGAGTGTACAGTTGGTAAAGACGGCTCTCCCTTGCCCTGCCTCCAACATGCCTCCATCTAAATAGGATAGGTTATCCAGAGTTTTCTCTGTAGTTATGCTGCTATAGGCTTAGACTGCTGGAGGATACACTGACCACTTTCCACACTTTACTTTCTTCTACAGTCTGCTCTTTAACTGTATTATTTTCTGCTATTTCAGCTGTTAACTTTATTTTTTCTCTAAGTGCTTTTCTCCCCAGAAGAAGCTACAATGATGTTCTGCTGAGCTGTGGTGGCCTCATGGAGGGGGCCATCGACTAGCACACTGCTGCTAACCACTTAAACATTCTCCCTCTCCTGATAATAACTTTTTGCTTTCCCTGACGTTGGATGTGCTACTGCTAGTTTACCCGTTTAATTATAGATCCACTAGGATAAATACAATAAAGTTTATCTCTCACCAAATAGAATATTTACTAAGACATCACAATAAAACTATAGACACATTACTTGGTATACATGTTGCGTGTGTGTGTGTGTGTGTGTGTGTGTGTGTGTGTGTGTGTGCTTTTTTAATCACAATTGTCTACTTTTTGCTCATTTGAAATATATTTTTAACCATTTTCTAAATTCTTTTTTATAGTTTTACATTTTTTGTTTTTGTGAAGCGCCTCGTGATTTTTATCTTGAGAAGCGCTATAGAAATGATATTTTCTTCTTCTTCTTCTCCATCCCCAGTGAGTCGTGGAGGATGGCTGCTTATACTGAGCCGGGATTCTCTGGAGGTTTCTTCCTGTTAAAAGGGAGTTTTCCTCTCCACTGTCGCTAAATGCTTGCTTAGTATGAGGATTGCTGTAAAGTCACTGACACTAGTCAGAGACTCTATGCAACCTGCTGGGTTCCTTATATAGGACACATTTTACTGATTGGCTTAATGAACTGACCTGTATAGGAATGTTTATTACGTGAAGTGCCTTGAGACGACTCTTGTCGTGATTTGGTGCTTTGTAAATAAAGGTGAATTGAATTGAAAAGGGGCATTACTTAAAGAAAAGCCCTTCCCATTTTTCATGTTATCAGTAATGGCTCAACAAGGAAAAGAAATGTCAAAATCTGAGAAAGGAAATTATTTCTTTACACAAAAAAGATAAGGACTACATTAAGATCCACAGAGCTTTACATATCAGTCACAACACTGTAGCAAAAGGGATTCAAACATTTAAGGATGGAAGTGCAACCAAGGCCTTCCACGGCAGTTAACATCGTGACAGGAGCATCCTCTGATGAGAAGGTGTAAAGAAAATCTAAAATATGTCGCCCTCTTGTTCATTCCATGCCTAGAAAACTTGGTGAATCTTTGAAAACCACAGTGTTCGCACTAAATACTAGATGTAGTCGTTTTTGTTGTGGGGTGGATTCATTTCTGCTTCAACTAGTTTTAGTAAAACTGAATATTTTGTGATCCAAGTTGTATTATTAGTCTTAGTTTCATGTTATGGAGTTAAACACGTGTTCAATAAACCAGCCTTGTGAAAATTCTGGAAATTGTTCTTTTGTTCTTTGAACTGCTGATTACATTTGTACTTTAAAGGGGGTGTACTCATTTATGCTGAGTTAACACACTCAGCAAAATGTTTCAAATGGATGTGTTTAAGAATTCACCTTCTGACCAGTCCACTCCACCTCCCAGTAGTAAGGACTTCCTGCCAGCGGCTCTTTGCAGAGAACTTGTCTCCAGAAGTGGAAGCGCTCAGGGTGGTCCGGTGGGTGGAGATTCTCAGCACGCATTGTGACCTTATGGCCATCTTCTGACAGCTTCATGTGGCGGTACACAGTGTTGGGGTCAAAGGTAGGCTGAAAGCGGACTGAAGGAGAAGATGCTGTGAAGTCTCTGGATATAAAGGTTGTGTTCATTATTCTGATTTGAACAACAAAAGAATAAACTCACATTTTAACATGTCTGCTCTTGTCTTTGGCTCTGGATTCCTAAGCCCAGCAGCCCGTCCAGATGCTACAAGCAAAAAATAATAATAATAAGGCATGAGTATCAGGTAACCCAGTGAAAAACCTGCAGACTGTTTACAGCAGAGCTTCAGTTCTTCAGGGAAAGGGTAGAGTGATTCATGAGCTGCATATTTTATTTACCTTGAGGTTGGAGGGGAAAGTCAGGAGGAGGAGGAGGCGCTGAAGCTTCACGTCAAGAGAAAAGAACAAACAGAAACAACTGCCTGTCAGTAACAGTTCATGCTGTCCCGATCATACCATGATGACCAAAACAAGCGCCTAACATCGGAGGCTCACATTCTGTGAAGAAAATCACAGCTGGACCGAGTAAAAGAATCCGCTGCAGGATTTTCACCTGCATTCAGTTTTTCATGACTTACCTAGAGGGCGAGGAGGCAACGGGGGAGGACTTATTATGCCTTCATATACTGCATTTGAAAAAGGGCGAGACATGTCTGAGATTAGCCTTTCTTACTCCCCCCTAAACCAAACTCCATCCTGGGTTGGTTTGTGCAGTCACACTGAGCTGAGGGAAGTCACCACACCTGTGTCTCGTGGAGTGGCCTGACTAGAATAACAGGCGAGTGCTGGTCCTGCGCCTCCGACAGCAACGGGAGATGAACCCACTGCCTCATAATTCACTAAAAACAAAATGGAAACTTTTACTAATGCAAGTTGTGACAGGCTGGTCACCTGTACAGGAGAGGGGCACAGCTTCCCCTGAGGGGGTGGTGGTGTCTGACCTGTTTTACCAATCTTAGCAAGACTGACTTTGCAGAGCTCCTGAACCGACTCCTGCAGCTCACTCAGGATGGAGCGGATGGAGGCCACCGTGGCTTCTTGTTGACTCAGCACCAACTCTCCTGGGATGCCTGTCTGATGTAGTGGCTCAGTAGTGAGGAAATTCTTCCAAAATAGAATAAAATGTCACATCAGTCACATGATCAGACCCTAGCTGTATATATTTTTTGGTTTTGGTTGATTCTTACCTTCAAGAAGCAGACATCATCTTTCATGTCAGCCAGCCCGCTCAGCTCCTTACTCCTCCAGTGGAGCTGTGCCACCTCCTGTTGAAGACCCTGGATCAGCCCTTCCACTTGGCTGCAAAAGGCTATCTCGTGGGTTTTGAGGAGCTCACCAACTTGAGTTCCTGTGTAATTCAAGATCTTTACAAGCTCAGGGAACAAGTCTGAACTTTCCTTCTCCAGAGCCTGAAGCAAGGCCTAGAAGTGTACAGGAAGAGAAGAGAGTTGTTAGAATGGAGGTCAGGAGGCTGAACCACAGAAGGGATCTTGTCTACAGGCCTTGTGTTGGCGAGAAGCAGGTGGGAGCTCCTTGAGCATCTTCTCAGATTCCTGGATCCTTCTCTGCACCTCCCCCTGCATCTGAACAAGCTCCTTCTACACAAACACACATGTGGTTTGGCCATTAAAGAGGCCAAAGACACAGGAAGACATGAACAGATGTCCACACATGTAAAAGCACTGCAGCATGGCAAGTTAGGCCATCAAGAAAACCTTCACCTGTGATGACCGTCAGTGTAGGATTTCCTTTTTCCACCTTGGGAATATTGCTAAGATTAGAAGCATCCTTTCCAGGAGTGATGCTGAAAAACTAGTTCATGCATTTATCACATCAAGACTGGATTACTGTAATCCATTACTCTCAGGAAGTCCACAGAATGTAGTTAAAAGTCTTCAGCTTGTCCAAAATGCTGCAGCTAGAGTTCTGATGAGAATTAAAAAGAGAGATCATATCTCTCCTGTCTTAGCTTCCCTACATTGGCTACCTGTTAAATTCAGAATAGATTTTAAGATCCTCCTTCTCACATATAAAGCTCTTAATAATCAAGATCCATCATACATCAGTGATCTGAATGTTCCATACGTTCCTAACCGAGCACTTCGCTCTCATATTATCCCATTCATTTTATGTTTTCTCCAAATATGTTCTTTCCAGGAGAAGCTACACTGGTGTTTGCTGGCCTCCAGGAGGGGGCCATCAGCTAGCACACTGCTGCCAACCACAAGACATTCTCCTGATATTAAAAGCATGGCGGAGGAGGTTTCTGAATTTCACGGAAGAACAGCTCTCTCCACGTTTTGAAAAACTGTGCATGAGAACACCCAGTTATACTTGTGCACACTGTTAAGTTGACTAAAGGGAGACTTCTGGTACGAGAAAACAGCACAGGGGGTCCACGGGTCATAAAAGGTTGGGAACCACTGACTGATTTACAGTAATGCGGACCAATGGTTCAGATGATCCACCCGGAAAAACTAGTTCCTCTGCTATACCTTTAACATGTTACTTTCTTTAACATAGAATGTACTTCATCAGGTGTGTGGAGTAGTGATGGGAACGCCGGCTCTGTTAAGAGAACCGGCTCTTTCGGCTAACAGCTCCTCACATATTTTTGTTTTGTTTTTATTTATTTATCACCAGAAATGATGTAAAATGTGTCATTATTGAAGTGTGAAACATCTCCCCAGCCGTCATTAGCATCTACAGAAGGGATGCATCACTAAATCAAACATATCAGATGTGTTCGTGATCTAAAACACGCAGGAAACCTGCTGGAAGCAGACTGCAGCACCGGGTATGTCAGCTAAACAGCGGACCGCCACTCTGAAGGTGTAGGTGTGCTGTTGTGGCTACAGAGGGCGGTGGGGTCATTAACCCTGAAAAGGCTCATTTTAGTACAAACTAGCTCAAGAAAAGTATTTTAAAACATGAAAAAGTTGCATAGTATCCCTTTAAATAACTTTTAACTATTTACCACAAAACAGAGTGCAAAATATACTTTAAATAAAAATTTACTCGGTACGTATAAATATTTACAGACAACTATTTACAGGTAAACAACTAAGAAAAGCTGAGACAATCACACAGTAACATTTGTAGAGCCTGCTTGAAAAGATGTTTTTACTTTGCGTCATCCACACTCTTCCTTTGAATTGTCAATATTGGTCAAATGTGTCTGGCTGCGTTTCCTGCTTCAACTCATGTCCTCACCTTCCTGTAGCCTGTTTTTCCTGTTAAAAGGGAGTTTTCCTCTCCACTGTCGCTGCATGCTTGCCTAGTATGAGGATTGCTGTAAAGACTCTGACGCTAGTCAGTGACTCGATGCAACCTGCTGGGTTCCTTACATGGGAAACTAACTAATTGGCATATTGGAATGTTTACTATGTGAAATCCTTTGAAACGACTAAACTATATAGAAATAATCTGAACTGAACTTCAAATGTCCGTCAGACATAAAACACACCATTAAGTTGCATACCTGTCTCGTCATTCTTTCTTCTTGGGGTTTAAGCACATGGTGTCCTTGATGTCCATGTTGGCAGCAGACCACACAAACACACTCCCGGTCCTCATGGCAAAAACGGTCGAGTGGCTGCTTGTGCTGAGGACAAAGTCTTATTTCCACTGAGGGGAGCTGAGGGTACACACTGCCCTTCCTGGGCCCAATGTCTGGCAGGACCTCCAGATAGACAGGCTCTGATGGTGAGGAATCTCCTTTGAAGGAACCTCGCTTGATGCTGTTGGTTCTCAGTTTCTCCATGGCTTCTGCAAGTAAAGTGCTCTTGGCCAGTGAGGGCCGAGGGTGAAATACCTGCCTACACTGTGGGCAGGTGTACGGACCGTTGCTGCCTCCCTTGTCCCAGTGTTTCTGGATACATGTCAGGCAGTAGGAGTGTCCACATGGTAGAGTGGTGGGGTCCTTTAGCGTTTCCAAACAAACTGAGCAAGCAAAGCTCTCCTCTTCAACCCAAGCCGAGGCCATTTGGGCTAGAACAAATAAGACTTCTGCCCGGATGTATGGATCACCCAAAGGATCCTCAACAAGTTTAAAACACGGGACTAGCTCTCAAAGGAAACACACACAAGGGCTGAAAAGCTGGTCCAGATGAACCACATACTGGAGCGGGGCGGGGCGGGGCGGGGCTGGCCAAACAGGTGCAGTGAGGAGTTCCTCTGATGTGTCACTGGTGTTTGATAAGATCTGTTCTATTTGTTGTTGTTTTACACTTTTACACTAATCCACTCAGCAAAAATAAAATCAGAATCTATTTGATCAAGGCACTCATTTTACTAATAAAATGATAAACAAGTGTTTATCATAGACAGGCTGCATTTATCATTCAGTGGAAAAACCAAAACAAGTTGAGTTGCTTTTTACCGCAGAGGATCAGTGACGACATCTGGAATTTTTCTGCTGATCTAATCACTAAATTATGAAAGGATCTGCCTTCTCTGGTCTTATGTTACGTTAATTTGGATTTCAGAAACGCTCTCTCCTTCCTTCTGCTCCCATGTACAGGGTATCTGCAGATTTAAGGGAGCCAAATTTAAGACTTTTTAAGACCTTTTTTAAGACCACTTTGACCAAATTTAAGCTATTTTAAAAATTAAATTTAAGCGATAATTTCCAGCTATTGCCTGGAACCGGTGCTAACCACGTCGCGAATGTGGGATTAACCATCCAGTTACCATTAAACTTGCCCTTCCCCATGGCGCAAGCTCCCACTAGCTTAACCAGCTAATGTGCTTATCTAGAAAATAGCCCCCTTTCACAACCAACTGACTGCGTACGGTTCCGCTTACGCGCACGTCATACACAAAAAATGCTGAACACTAACTAGAAATTCACGAAATTTTTATAGAAATAAAAGAATCTTGTTTATTGGGTCTTTGGTAATTTAAGACCTCTGGAAACTGGATTTAAGGATTATTTGTCATTTTTAAGAACTTTTAAGGCCTTAAATTAGGAAAAGCTAATTTAAGACTTTTTAAGGACCCGCTGATACCCTGCATGTAAACCTGAACTGGTCACCTGCTTGTGCACAATCAAAGGTCTCTGATGGGGCTGGCTGAAGAGCCTGGAGTCACGATGAAGTTCTGGATTCAGCCTCAGACAGGCTCATGGCTGCTTAAATGTTCTGGCTGAATCTGCCACACGGACTAACAAGCCATCCTGGGGGTGAGGTTCATAACTGGGGAGATTGCTCTGTGTTTATGATCCCTAAATAGAAGCTTCCGGTTTGATACATTTTGTTGTTTTAAAATCACTTAAATATGCTTTAATCACAGAGCCATCGCTTGAAGTTACTCCTTTAACCCTCTCAGGCTCAAAATAAGTTGTGATAAAAGGACGAACAACCAAGTCCTTCAGGGGAACTTCTGAGTTAAAAATGCTCATGAAACACGTGTGTGGAGTAACCAGGTAGGTAGGTTTTAACGTAGCTGATCTGCAACGCCTGCCTCCAGAGGGTTAAAGACTTCAGTAAAGTTTACAAGATATTCACAGATCAACTTATGGAAGAATTATCATGACAAATATCAAGAGCATGAACTTTTTATTTGAGAGCAGGATTTCATATCTTTGTGCTCAAAACTTGCAATGCTTGCACTGAAAATGTCTGCTCTCTTTCAGATATACTCTGTTCTCCCCATCGACATATATACTGGACTTTTTGAGGCCAAATGGGAGGTGCCCACCACCGCCATTTTGACCGTGTCACAGGTTCCGTCAAGCCCAGACAATTCCAAAAAAGGGAAGAGAGGAGGAGCTGAGGGTGGGGCTGTAAGGCTGGGATCAACTGATGACACCCGGTCGAACTAGCTACAAGCTAACCTGAAGCTAACCCAAAGCTAATGCGGAGGTGGGAGCTAAGCTAACGGAGGTAGCAACCTAGCTACAACCGGAGTTAACTGTGCACAACACCAGAGCTTCTGAGTCAGAGATACGCCGGGCTGACCGCTGGGTAAAACCGGGTGGAACACAGAGGTCTCCGAGACCTCCACAAGCCGGCAGCCGCACAGCACACAGAAGCCACGATCAGACAGCGATGTGCCGAGCTGCTGGGAGAACCAGCCGTCAGCCCGCACAGCTATCAGGAGCCGCAATCAGACAGAGATGGACCGGGCTGCGGGGAGAAACAACCGGCATTCCGGGTGGAAAACATCGGTCTCCCGAGAGCTCCACACGCCGATAGTCGGAACCCAGCTCCACCAACATGTTATATTTCAACCCATTTTCTAAAGTGCAGCATTATGTTAAATGCACTGGGTTTTACCGTATTACATTTACATTTCATGGTTAAACAGTACATGTTAAAATCTAAGCTCAGCTCGGCAGTGACCTAAAATACATAAATATAATTTTACTTACCAAAATAATGAAGTGGAGACTCCTTGGACGCTCTATTAGTGCAATTAATGCCACTGCAAGTCATTTTGTCCAACAACTGCACAAATAATATCCAAACAAGAATACACAAACACAGAGACTCAAAATCCCGGAGCAGTTTCCAAGCCAGACCGAGGCTCTACTGAGGCCTTTCCACGGAGCTAGCTCTGCGGTCACGTGGGTCTGATGCTCATTAATTATACAGAATTGTAGACTTAAACAGAAGAGTGAGAAAAAATTCACCCCCCTCAGAGTTGTCATGAGTGTAAACTAGATCATTTAAACCAAAAACATGTTTTGGTACCAGGCTGTAAACATGTTTATTTCTGCTGTGAAATTGGTATTTTTAGGATTTGCTCGCTTCTGACACTAGCCCCTAGTGGATGAGGGTGGAACTGCAATTTTTGATACTTCCGGGTTTGACTGAATTTTAGAGCCGCATTGTGGGGGCTTGGTTCTCCCCTCAAATCTTTGTTTCTGCGCTCAGATTTTAACCATCTAACACAGATTTGTTGTTCTCACTTGAAAATGTTTTCTCTGCGTGGATCAAAACCGCTCCCACAAGTCTGTTCCTTGTGCTCACCGATGGTGCTCACAGATTTTTTTTTCTGCTCTCTCTCGAAACTTGGTAGGATAATCTCCTAGCAACCGCTCAGCCAATGGGAGAACAGTTTGGAACTGAACGGTGACAGTGGCCGTGTTCGAGTTGAGCTGCGCCTCGCCTGGAAAACAGACGAGAGCAGGCGCAAGCAGCAGGGGGAGTGGCTGAAAGCCGGCGTTTAAGTCGGACACAATTTCCTGCATGTGTAGTTCACGGGTGACTATGGATGAAGATATCGCGTTAGAGTTCACACTTGTTTAATTTTCAATTTTAATTCTGGTGCCTGTTAGCAGTTGAAACACATCCTCACGTGCTTGTGGATATCATATATTGCATATGAAGACATGACTGTAATAATAAGTAAAGGTTATCAGCTGTAGGTTTAGTGAAACGTGACAAAAGAACACAAAACACATTTCTCTTTATGACCTATATTGTTGTCATCAACATAACATGATTTACAGAATACATGTGACCAACTAACATTTCATGTTCTACCACCGGATGTTTGGATCAAAATATGAACCAGTCATAAACAAACAAATCAAACACAAACCGTTGTGCTGCTAAAGATAAGATAAGGTTCTATTCTTGCCGCAAGCTGCTTCTGGGACACGTCAAGTTCTGCAGTTAAGTCACGCCCATCTACTTCCACGTCATGGGTCCACGGAAGAATGAAAAAACGAATGCAAGTCAACGGGGCTAAAAACGCTTTTTCTAATTCTGCTTGTTATGTGCCATGGATTTCACATATAATGTCTGTGAATTTTAAAGAAGCATTTTAATACCAAGAATGCACTTATTTTCGCACGGGGTAAACGCAATTTTAGCTCTTTTTGCCCCGTTGACTTGCATTCATTTTATCGTGCTTCCGGGGACCCATGAGGGAAGGGGAGGAGACTTAGGGTGTTTCTCATAGACAAGGAACCACGCCCTGATGTTTTGGCCCCGCCCCGGTTGCCTAGGTGAGCTACGTCATCAGGAACCACCAAGACGTGTTCCAGTGTTCATGTTCTACCGAGGCGTGTGTTCTCTGTTTGTTAGCTGTTTAGCTAGCTGAGCAACGACACACGGGAGGTGTCTTGTAGCCTATAGCCTTGGTCAAAAATTTCCCAGAATACATGGCAGCTACTTCAGGGGCAATGAATAATTAAACAAAATAATGTTTTTTGATCCGAAGAAGTTATCTATGGTTGGTTAGTCGCTTAGCCGTGGAAGCCACAGTCAGGTGATGCAAGTGTGTTCCATTTAACTGTTTTCTTTGACCATGGAAGGACATTATGGAAGGCGCCTGGCCTCACAAGACATCGCCTCACAAGGCCAGGCGCCTTGACGTTGAGAAACACCCTTAGGCTCCCTATAGGTCTAGACAGGAAATGTTTCAGTGTAAACGTCTGGCAAATTTCAAAATGAGACTAATGCATATTTTGAATTGAATTGAATTGAATTGAAGGGATTTCATATCTATGTGCACGTCTACAGGTTTCTTTCTAGAAGTACAATGGTGTGTTTTGCAGCACGGACTACGAGGCTTTAATTCTGGCAGTGGACGGGCACAGCATACTAAATGAAATCCTTCTTTTTTATAAAGATAACATGAAAAAAGAGAAGGGTTTGGATAGAGGGATTTTGTGACCTCGCGAGTCCAGCCAGAAAGATGTTCCGCGGCCAAGACTCTCCCGGTGTGTACTAGACTCCACTGAAGCTTGTGAATAAACTGTTCCTCTGCCGTTCCGCACCTCTGATGCTTCCAGAGTGAAATAGGGTCCATGTTCAGGTTAGTTTTATCTGGAGACAGAATATCAATTTCAAAAGTAGAAAACACATTCTACCTATAGGTGAAATGTTTTAATGTCACTGAGTGATCTGTAGCCTGTGGGATCCTCTTCATCAGTAACCTGCCTCCCACCATGGGTCTAACTTGATTCCCTCAACAATAAACTAATTTTGCTTTAATTTATCAAAACACAAAAATCAAATATGATTAGTTTCACTTCTGAAGTTCTTCCTGTTTGTGCAACATTCACAGGTGGATCTCATAATTAGAAACAGTATGTAGTCCAGCTGTCACCTCCTGAAAGGATTTTGAAACAGAGTTCGTGTTGGTGGTCTGGAGAATGTAGGAGAAAAAAACATATTTATTAGTAAAGAGTAGAAACCTCCTAATTTATAACTGCATCTTGTATTGGTGTCTGAACATCAAAGCAGTATAATGACAGGAGAGCCTGCAGCCTGCATACCACAATGGTTTGTTAGAGCTAAAAAGGTGTGCCTGAGAACCAAGGTATAACAGCATCCTGTTATCCAGTAAATTTTGTGATCAGCTCTGGTTAGGAAAATTTATCAAAAGTCAACAGGCAGCAGAAGTTTCCTGCTAATGTTCTGTACTGCATTTTGGTAACATCAACATTGTGCTCTATTTTTTTTATTGTTCACTTATTTCATATATATATATATATATATATATATATATATATATATATATATATATATATATATATATATATATATATATACACACACACACACACACACACACACACACACACACACACACACACACACACACCGATCCGCAACAATCGAATCTGCGAATATCTTGCCAACTTTACTAACGTCTCTTGAAGGGTCCGCATCATTTCAACGTCTGTACTGTTGTAATGTTATGCAACCGTTTATGATGCCCATATTATTGTCGGTAAATCGGATGAATAAATAGAAAGTAACGAGCAGTTGAAGTTTTATCTTTTAGAACTTTTAGCTGTTGAACGAAACACTTGTTTATAAATTAAGACAGCCAAAAGTTTTTTTTCCTTCTCCCTCGCCGCTCCTCGTAACTTCTAGCCTAACCAACCGTGCCGGTGGTACGAAAAGGAGCGAACCCCAAGCCAGCCGATAGCTTAACGATCTGCTGCTGTTCATCAGACAAGGTGAGACCGTCTTACTTTTACGCACACTTTGTAAAACAAGTCACTGACAATTACTCAGAATGTTTACGACACATCGAATAATGTCTGTCAACTCTAAAATCAACAGCTCCGTCTTACGGATGGCATTAGCTTATTTGCTAAGGCGTTTTGCTAACTTACCTGGTGTTGCGTTGAAATGTGTTTTCTGTAGAAAATTCTGTCCAGGTTTCAGCGTAGTGTGTTTTTTCTCTTTTAAATATACAAACGTTGACATAAGGGCGGTAACAAATGAACAAAATTATTGGATATATGTAATATTTGATCAATACAATGACTTGTTTTTACACAGAAGAAACCATCTGACAGACTGAAACTTGACATTAAGGACACCCCCCTCCCCCGTCATACGTTTCTTTTAAACAGCCATAGCTAAAACGACGTGGTTTAGGGAGAAACCTGGACAGGAGAAACGGATATTGACGTACTGGTTAGCTCATGTTTCTGCTCTTTGACATAATTGGGAGAGGACAGTGTCAATAATCTAATTTTAGCACGTCACTGAAGCTCTCAGTCACAATCAATCTCTGGGTTGAAGATTGTTCTCATAAATGTAGTTTTGTTGTGTTCTTGGGCAATATAAATATGAACTGGGTTCAGTTTTTAATTTGTTAAGGAATTTTATCATAAATCATTACAGAAAATCAAAATCCTCTCCTCCAGAGAGTGAAGAACTGTGTTCTGCCTACAGAACTCCAGCACGTAAAACAAGCTAGCTGCTGATGCTAGTATTGTGAATAACTGTATTTTGTTTACTTTCGTGCTCTTCATTATTATGGAAAATTGTGTTTACAGCTGCAGCAAAAGCAGGTCTGTGTATGTTGCAAGAATAACACCGGCTGAATAGTCGAACTTCTTTAAAGAGCGGGTCAAGCGTGCCTCAGAGTCCTTCTCCACCCACGTATCAATTTTAAAAACTGCAACATTAGTAGGCGTTGCCTGGCGGGCCGAGAGGGCGGAGCCGCGGCAGTGACGAAGACAATGGCTACGTTTACATGCAGCCAATATCCGGGTTATGATCGGGTTAAGGTCGGTATTCGGGTTTCTGAGTTGATCAGAATAACCCTTTTACAAGCATAAATAGAAAGAGTTACCCCTAACTTGCATAACCCGATTTAAATGCGGATGTTGGGGTAGCGTCAAGACGTATGGACTACGTCCAGACGCAATATGCCTCATTTCCGGTTCTTGTTCCGGTAACCGTGAAAACAACAACATGTTTCCCAGTTCAGAAGAGATAGCGACCGCGTTTGCGCTTTAGTTTCTCCGTCACTCCAAAAGTGTGGTGCTGTGCCGCGACTCGCCATTTTGCTCCCAACTTGTTGTTTACTTCCCGTGTTCTGGCGCATACAAGACATCTCGCTACTCAAAAGACCAAGATTCCTTGCGAACAGAGCATGCGCAGAACACACGCTTTGATGGGGATATCCCGATATGCGTTTACACGACCAAACATTCGGGTTAGAAAAGGGTTACCCCAGGTGTAGTAACCAGGTTTTTAAAAACCCGGTTATGAGCATATCCAGGTTTTTGGCGGTGTTTACAAGGACCTGCGGAACCGGGTTATTGTGAATATTCGGGTTTTAAAAGGGTTACTGGCTGCATGTAAACGCACTAATTGGGTAACGAGACAAGCTAGCTCCCTTCACTCTGAGCAGTTATTAGAATTGGAGGACGTTTCTCCCCCTCCTTACCCAGACACCCGAGAAGAAAGGAACCAAGTCTATTTGGAGGAGACGAGTGGACCTGAGCCTTATTGTTTTGAGCTTGTGAGTTGCCTGAAACTACCGGAACCGACCCAACAGAACCAGCTCTGAATGGTAAGTAGCCGTTAGCCATAGCATTAGATTAGCTGCAGGGTTTGGCTCCACGGCCCTAGAGAGCTAGTATTCAGCTTGTTTTAGAGATTCATCTGCCTCAACACACCTGGTTTTAATCAGCAACAAATAGCTGAGCTGCTTAACAGCTAATCTAACCTGTTAAAGCAGGAAAATCACTGAAACGTGCTGGATAGCAGCTCTCCAGGAGCCCTGGGCTCAAACTAGTCTGCTGCATAGAAAGTTATGAAAATACCCCATGAGAAAATTATTCTGTAATGTGTTCAGCCCACTAAAACTGCCCTGATTTCATTATTTATTTACTGATACCAGCTGCTCTCTTGGTCGTAGGTGATCCTCTGGTGTCTGCAGGTGGTCTCCTCTGCTGGTGTCGTCAGGATCAGGAGCTTCCAGAAGAATGTGCCTTTCAATGACTCTTTCCCCCTTATTTGTTATATTAATTAAATAAATCTCAATTTATATATTTCCTGTTTTTGTTCATGTCCATAAATACTTAAACATGCTTGAAATTAGAACGAGCTTTTAACAGTGAGGTGCTAGTTTAATTCATCACAATAGAGCTAGTTAAACATGCAACAATGTGATAATTCAATTAATATAATTTATAAATATCCATTAAAATATAAAAACTGGAATCAAAATGAGATATTTGGCAGCACAAAAAACTTGTCAAACACAATATTTATTATAATAATTGTAGGCAGACAGGAGACAGAGCTGATGGAGGTTCTCAGTCATCGAAGGAAGGCTGAAGGCTTTCCAGGAACAGGAGATGTGGTGTTGTCTCTTCTCTCTCTATTCTGCCAGATGAGCTGATAGGTTACAGGTGTGTGAGGACATCCTCATGCTGTCACAACCAGTTGACAAGAGTTATCAGGTGATCAGCCAGGCTAATGATGAGATGCAGAAAGAAAACAAATCCAGGACAGTGTACAGTAATAATAATAATAATATGTGGTGTTGCTCACCTTATGTGCTCTTATAGAGTATTAACATGTGCCAGCCTCATGGTGTAGAGTCCATATTTTGCTGAGTGTCCTGCAATAATGCGGGTTATTTGTTAATTTACTTGTGATAGCAAAGGACAAAATATTTAATGTAAAAGTTATTTACCAGGTGAATCAGCTTGTGAGCTGTGACCACGAAGTGTCACAGGGCCAGAATCAGTAGCCTCCTTCATGATGTCATGATGTAATCACATACTTACCATAAATCCTCTAATACAGGCTCGGGCCTGTATTTGACTCAAGCTCATCAAGCTTCAGGCCTTTATTGGAAGGAGGGCCAGTATTAGAGGCAGGTCTCTATTTCTATTTGAGCAAAATGAACTAATGGTTCGCTGGAGTTTTTGACAATTAAAATTGCGCCCACATTTTCAAAGTTAAACACATTTCTTTTAACAACGGTAGTTTCTGCTTCAGCCCTCTCCCCCCTCCCCCTGCGCAGCGGCCGCAAACTCACTGATGCGCCTGCAGCCTCTCAGTGTTCCTGCTGCTCTAAACATTAAAATAATTATTTTATTTTCTGTTCCTCACTTATGATTACCTTCAATGGTGTCTGTTTGTTGCAACCAGCAGATACAAAAACTAACGTGTTTTTATTTGACTATTTTTCTGTCCTGCCTGTTTATTATCTTCCTGCATCTCCTCTCAATCCTAAAGAAAAACTGCTACCTGGGTTCATATATATTCACCTCATGAGTTACCTTTGAACTGCAGTTCTAAAAGATCTACCGACCGCAAAAACAGCGGAGTGCTCGCTGCTTGCCGGCCGCATCAGTGATCGGTGCGTCACCGGATGACAAGGTGATGCGCCCCGCTCCACAGCGAAACGCATCAGGCGCAAATAAAAGACAGAAAACATCAAAGGAAATGAACCGACATGAACGATCACTTGTTAAATAATTTTTTGAGGTGGCGACACCTGATTGTTACTGTGGCCGTGCTCAGGAGGCAGATCTACGACCGAAAAAACAGTGGAGTGCTCGCTGCTTGGCGGCCGCATCAGTGATCGGTGCGTCGGAGGACAAGGTGATGCGCCCCGCTCCACAGCAGCGAAACACATCAGGCGCAAATAAAAGACAGAAAACATTAAAGGAAATGAACCGACATGAACGATCGCGTGTCAGTACCGACGCTCTGGCACAGCGCGTTGCGCCCCCCCCAGCGCAGGAGCTTGTCACCTGCTGACAGCAGGCTGCTGCCTTTTCCGAGGGCTGCATCTTGCCGGTCATTATCACGTGACAGCGACTAGTCGACGACAGGCATAAAAAGTCACTATAGTGAAGGCGACTAGTTCATACGACCCCCGCTACTGCTCCCCAGAGTGTTCTGCAGCATAATCAGCACGTTCTCTTTGAACTTGATATCAAATTTTCGCCTCCTCTTTGTCTCCACACGGTTAAAGTCACCCTCGTGGTCTATCACTGGCAAATCAAAAGTGAGACGATGACACAATTGCCCCCCGTACTTGCTTGTTACCACATTCCGCCCGGCCACAATAAGAGACTAGCCATTATTCACCTCTGCCGACTCCGACACCGGCCAAAATTGGAGACCTGGCCTTTAATTGAATACCGGCCTGTATTAGAGGATTTACGGTATTTAAAAAGTTAAAGTCCCATTAGTTGTCACACACACTGATGTGTGTGTGAAATTTGTTCTCGCATTTGACCCATCCCCTGGGGGAGCGGTGAGCTGCAGACACAGCCGCGCTCGGGAACCATTTGGTGGTTTAACCCCCCACTCCAACCCCCTTAATGCTGAGTGTCAAGCAGGGAGGCATTGGGTCCCATTTTTTCAAAGTCTTTGGTATGACCCGACCAGGAATCGAACCCTGATCTCACAGTCTCAGGGCGGACACTCTTTTTACCTTGAACAGTTCACTGAGCTTGCACAGTCATTGAGGTGGAAGCTGGAATCAACAGCAGACACTTCACATCTTGGTCTTTTCAGGGGGTGTGGACGCTGCTCTGGGACTTTCTGAAAGATGAATTTCCATCATGGTCCCCGTGTCACAAGACACACTGAGGCTGTGAGGTCTAAACTGGGTGGCTATGTAAAAACAAAGAAACAGCCCATTTATAAATGTTTAAAAGAGCATAAAATCACGTGTAACAATAATCTG